TCTCTCTCTCTCTCTCTCTCTCTCTCTCTCTCCTCAAAGTCACAATATATAATTGTATCAAAATAATATAAATTACTGTATTAATTATATGTATCTATAGGTATATAATATAATTTTAGTTACTTAATTTATACCATAGTCATTAATAGTTCATTAATAATTTAACACATCGTAAAAATACTACATATTTCACACACATTAAAACTTACGCAAACCAAACAAACAGGTAAAAACCAGACAATAACAACAACACACATAAAACAATTAAGTCAACTAACCTTCAGGAATGTTGCCAACAATAATGCCAATCATAAAAATGAGCGCGTTGAAAAACGTCAACCCAAAGCCCATACAAATCGCAAAAAACACTACACCATTGCCAATGGCTATGGCCGTAATAATCTTGGTAAACCTGCTAATCTCAATGGCGATGGGTGTTTTCTCCCGGGCTATACCGGTAACGAGCATGGCAATTTTGCCCATCACGGTATTATCGCCAATCGCGATGACCACACCATAGCCGGAGCCGTCCACACAGTTGGTCGAGAAAAAGGCCAGATTTTTGGCCTCCAATGGGTTGCTGTGGCCCACGTCTGCCGAGCGTAGGAGTGGGTCCGACTCACCCGTGAGCGACGAGTTGTCCACTTTCATGGCCTCGCATCGGATGACCCGGATGTCTGCCGGCACGCGATCACCTGATTTACAGTAAATTTGTATTTGTAATAATTATTATTAATAGTTTTAAAAAAATTAATTTACTTATAAATGCAAAATAGTTAATATAGACAATAATATTTTGATTATTGTAATAAAAAGAGTTTTCATATTAGTGATCATATACTAATATAAGCAAACGTGGTTTAATTAAAATAGCAACTTTTACACTAATTTACAGTTTTCCTTGCAACTCATTGTTGTATAATAATTGCTTAATATACTGTACAACCTTATTATGTTATATAAATTAGTAATATGGAAAATATTGTAAAGCAGTATATTTTTACTAGATTTAGCGAATTTATTTTATTTTCAAATGCAAAATGTGCAAAATATAAATTATAATTGATCAATAAAATACACTTTTAAAAATGATTTTAACATTAATAACTCGATAATTGTCTAGGCCATATACACAACTCATGTTATTATATGTATATGATAATCAAAATTTACCTAATTTATTACGGTAATAATTATGAATAAATATTTACATTTCTTACATGCTGATATTTAAATAAACAATTTGTAATCGTCAATAAACAATTAATTTATGAATATTGCAATAAATAATTAACTAAAATTACACATACGTATGCATAATAAAAATGTAATAACTATAATAATATTATTAAACATATTATGTTTGAAAGATATAGCTTGTTCAAAATATGACCTTTTAAATCACAAGTTCAATAGCCAGGTATGAGTCGGGAACTATGTTATAATTTATTGTTATAATAATGTTATAATTTAACTGTAAATAAAAATAGAATTATTTTTTTTAATATTACAACTGTAATCACAGGCAAAGATGTTATTTTTGATTAAGTAAAAATATAAATACTACTTTAATTGGGTTTGTTCATGACCACCAAACAATAATATAATAGTATCACAATTTTTCTCAAAGGCTAATATAGAAAATATGTTACATTCTTAAAAGTACGTTAAAATTTCTAATATAACTTAGTAAATCATTCAGTCTCACCCCAGACCCAAGCTCGGAAATTATCTATCTCAAAATTTTACTAATTATTCAGCTGAAATTTGTGATCGACCGGAAATTGTGTAAACTTTGTATCATAAAACGCGAGCACCCGTTTGCCCATCGATCCCAACTCCCTATAGGCCGACTCAAACTCAGCCAAATGGCGGTCATTCATGGGCACCGACTGGCCCTCAGCCGTCACAATAGTGGAGCACAGCTTAATAATACGCTCGGGCCCGCCCTTCACTTGTACGCCATGGAGTACATTTCTCAAATTGTATACATGGTACTTTAATTTTATAAAACATGCCGGTCAAACTCTTGGTCTGATTTGAATATTGCCTTTTAATGTTTAATTTAATGAATTCTTAAAACACTACTTTAATTTACTAATTATTGGTGCAATTAATAATTTACAATTTATTACTAATTAATAATTTAATATGGCATAAATGTTCAATCTTTAATTGTCTCCTTGTTTTAATTGAATTATTATTATACTAATTACTATAATAATTAATATTAATGAATGTTAATTAAATTAACCGTTATACATTACTTGCCACAAACTTGTAGTCATAATTTTAAACTATTTTATTTAAAAAACTGTAATTATAAAAATTGAATAAAAGAGCAGAAATAAATAGTTATTTAATTTATCTAATTTTGGTTAATACTTGTATTTTATTTTGATCAATTCAAGACATGCGTATTTTGCAATTGTACAATTTGATAACATTTTATACATACACTAAAATTAATAAAATATTATCGCTGAACTTTGGACCCTTATATTATTAAAATCAAACAACGTTTAATAAGAAATAAAATTTTTACAATAAATTACTGTTTTAATTACGAATTGACGTTTGATGTAAATGTTTAATTATAATTAATCATAGTCCATTATCTGATGTGTATTTGATTGATGATTATAATTTAACTGTAAATCGACATACAAGTATTTTATTTTAGTATTACAAACTGTAATTACAGGCAAGAACGTTGTTTTTGATCATGTAAAAACATAAACATTATTTTTAATTGGTTTGTTCCCGACCCAGTTACAAATTAATATAATATTATCACCATTTTTCTTATACGCTTATATAGTAAATAAGTCACATTTTGAAATTATCAGAAATTAATAGTTTTTCAATCAATTTAATAATGGAAAATATAATATATTTATTATATACATATTATGTATTTTATTATGATCAATTCATGAAATATTTTGCAATTGTACAATTTCACACATTTTATACATACCACGAAACTAATAAAATACTTAGTATTATCAGTAAAACCTTATATTGTTAAAACCAAACAATGTTTAATAAGAAATACAATTTTCACAATAAATTACAATTTTAATTACAAATAACGTTTTTATTAAAATGTTTAATTAATTAATCATGGTTCATTATTTAATGAGTAGATCTATTCAGTGAGTAAATTGTTTGATTTACCGTATGGTTTAATTATGACGTTGCTTTTTAACTAGTATACGGTAAATTATAGCTTTAATTTAATATTGATTGTTTTATTATACTGTATTCACTAAATTTAGAACATTTTATATTGTAATTTTTCAATCAGAATTTTTAAATAAATTTTTATTTACAATGCTTCAAATTACAAAATAAGCTACTTTACATTTTGTATTTGTAATTTACTTTATGAATACTGCATTTAACAATACTACTGTTAAAAATAAAAATAAAATTAACAAAAGTAACTTAATGAAATTTTAAAACACAATAAATTGACCAATGTAATTCATATGAGCAGTTCAATGGCCAGGAATGAGTCGGGAAAGCGACGGATAATGTATTTGCGGAGTTCTTCATAGGCCAGTATATAGAAGAAAAATGGTACACCACATAACCAAACCCACCCTGATACAATATCATAGAATTTTTTAAAAACAATTATAGCATTTATTTAACTGACGATTGCAAATAATTTAGCATTATACGCTTACCTATAACGGGTGCCAATTGTAATACAGTATTAAAACCAGGTGTATAAACAAACAATACGGCTAACGCTGTCTCAAACAATATGCTAAAATTTAATACCCAATTGCTGTATAACAATATGTAAATGGTTTTAAATTAATCAAGAGTTATCCCATAATGATTATGCCTTAAATATTACCCAAATTTTTGTTTAAATATAGACACCCGACGTGTCTTCGACACCAACACATCCATCCATTGACACACGACTATACATATGAAGTACGAGGACTGGGCCACAGTCTGCACCTTAAGACGCTCATCGTAAGTCTGTATACATATTAGACCATGGTATAATAATTGCTAATTAAATTATTACATAATACAAATAATAACTCGGTTAACCAACTTACCCATGGTGTACCATACGAATCGTAAATGGCATCGTTGGCCGGGTCGTCCCATTTGACTCGCAACTGCCACAAGTCCCAGGGTTTCCAACCATGGTGCATAAACGCCACAAAATAACCCAGAAAGCCGGCGCTCGACATAATAACACCGACTTGAAAATACGACCTCAACAACAGTGAACGGGTGACCAACACATCGGTGCGGGGGTTCCGGGGGTGCAGTTTCATAATGTCCGACTCGGCCTTTTCGTAAGCCAACGCTATGGCGGGCATCATATCTGTGCCCAACGCTATCAATAGTACGGTGATTGTGCCGATGGCGATGGGAAAGCCGAATATGACGTAAATCATGAACGGGTATAATGTGGTGACACTACCGGCCAGTATATAGCCGATGGTCTTTTTCATGTTGTCGAATATGCGTCGGCCCT